TTGGTATAAGACACTCAACAAAGGCTTTGTCAGACAATGGTTACACGACTTAGTCTTTCATATCCTGTAACCACCTGTGTTTCTTTGAACCTAGCTCTTTGTCAAAATAATTTATTCAATGCAATACAATATCCTTTTATTGTCAAGGGTTGTTCCTGGAGATTTTCTTGAGGGCTTCTTTTTAATTTTCAAAGATTGCTTGTTTTTGTTTTCAGGGGTGCCTTTTCCATTTTCATGCACTTCATCATATAGTAACGATACCTTCTGTTTTTGAGATGATATACGGGATATTTGGACTCACACTGAAGCGGACTTAGAAGAATTCATCAATATGTTCAATTTTCAGTGATCAGTTAAAGCACAATGAGGAAATCATTGACTTCACAGACACCACAGTATTTAAGTCAGCTTAAGTTAGCGACAAGAGTATTTTTTCCAAAATAAATGATAGACAGCTATCACCCTAAACACACCTTCAACAGGCTATTGAGGTCAAAGCTCATGCATTTCCACTGCATATCCACAAAGCTGGAAAATTGTAACCAGTAGTTACAATCCTATTTTCTGCATCTCCCTTCTCAATCAGATTTAAAATTAATAATTCACACACTGTTTATTATATGAACATGCTCTTCATTTTCCCCACACAGTAGTTCTTGAACTGTGTACAGTTAAGCTAGAGATTCCATGTTCATTTTGAGGAGTTCATTACCTCAGTCATTTCAAGATTTTCAGCCTTCCTTTTGAGTTGAGAATTAGTTTTTTGACAGCTTTAATACTGTTCTCTCTCCCTTACGATCTCCAGCTTCCAAAGTAACCTCCTTCCTCTCACCCCCTGGAGCACCTTTATCTCGCCTCCTATCACAGTCATTGTCTTTTCCTCAAGACCCCTCAGTTCCCAGCAGTAGGAGGTACGCCCTGAGGCCTGGGCATCCTTGCCCCACCCACTCTTTCCTGGAGTGTTGGAGGCTGGGGGGTGACCTTATGGAGCTTTATAAAATCATGATGGGTATCAATCGGGTGAATAGCCAAGATCTTTTTCCTGAGGTGGGAGAATCCAAAACTAGATGACATAGGTTTAAGATGAGAGGGGAAAGATTTAAAAGGGACCTGAGGGGTAACTTTTTCACGTGGAGGATGGTGCATTTATGGAACGAGCTGCCAGAGGAACTGTTGGAGGCTGGTACAATTACAACATTTAAGAAGCATTTAGATGGATGTATGAAAAGCAAGGGTTTGGAGGGATTTGGATCAAATGCTGGCTATTGGGACTATGTTAGCTTGGGATGTCTAGTCAGAGTGGATGAATTGAACTGTAGGGTCTGTTTCTGTGCTGTATGACTTTATAACTATTGACTACACCTGGGGGTGGATCACAACATTCCCCAAAGAGAGAGAGAGGGAGAATGACCATAATCACTCTCAATATCATTCTCATAACAGGTCTACGCTGGGACAGCCTAGGACAGGAACCATGAGACGTGAATGGTTCAGAACGTTTTGGGAGAGGTGAAAGGACAGGGACATCCTGAGAGAGATGTGAATTAACGGAGGCATCCCTGCAGAGAAATAAGGCTATGTGAATGTTGCCGCTCAGAAAAGGGAGCTAAAGGCAGCTGAACCTCCACAGCAGGTAACCTACAGGCAGGCTGAGCTGTCAGTTAATAACTCATAGGGCCCTACTCGTACAATGAGATTCATCTCATGCTCTGAGTCATAGAGTCTTTTGCAAGTCCTGGAGTTCCTGCACCTTTTCCCTTGCGTCACAGCGACCTGTACCCCTCTGACATCTGTCTTTCCTTCTTGTGTTCCTGTCTCCTATGTCCCTGCCTCCTGTGCGTCTGCTGAACCCATCACTGCATTCCATCACAGCCTTGGAAGCTGTGGGTCTTCCTCTTCTGATGTTCTTAAAACTTATCCAAAGATACACATCCCACACTGATGTTGTCAGTTTGAAAGCCTCCAAGGATAAAGAATACTATTCCCACACAGAAACCTGTCAAACATTTACCAGGGGAACTGAGGCAGCAGCTGCAATAAGTGTCCCATCTGAATAAAACTTCAAAGACAAGTTTGAATCCTCACCTGATCTGCTGCTCAGAGTCAACTCCGCTTCACCTGTCCGTTTTGCAAGCTTCCGGAAATTCACGTTGGTCCGGAAATATTTGGATTGGCTGTGAGAGATGTCAATCAGAGAGCCCACCCACTCTCCCAATTCTCTCCTCTTCCTCTTCCTCTTCCTCTTCCTCTTCCTCTTCCAGAGCTAGTTCACTTCCTATAGGGACTGAAAAGCCAGTGAGGAGATGGTGAGTGAAGGAGCAGCTTTTATACAAATTGTATCCCATAATATCCACACCAATCTTCAGGCAGTCTGACTATCCTGTGGGCAATCAGGGGTGGAAATGCACCTTATGTTGTTGATGGTTCATTCTTAAATGTGAAGGGTGATGTATAATTATCTGGGAGGTGCGGAGTGTCTGAGGATTATTACTGAATTCCTATTGCTCAGTTTGGTGTGTTGGGAGCTGGTTATTATCCTGTGGATTGAGAATGGTCATTTCTCCCTGTTTCTTGTCTTTTCAATTCCTTCCAAAATCTCCCACCATGCTATCTCTGTAAGCCCACAGAAAGGAAAAAGATTTACATTCATACAGAACCTTCCACAAGCAGATGTCCTAAGGCATTTTACAGCCTTTTGAAGTATGGACCTTAGTGATATAGGAAATGAAGCAGCCACTGTCTACCCAGCAAACTCCCAAAGCAGCCACCTGAGATTGTAACAAACATAAACACCTAAAGTTACACCTTTCATGCTGCAAAATGCACAATCAGAGTTTTTATAGGAACTAATCCAATGGCACGCTAGGATTCCAAAGCGTTTTGTTACTAACATACAAATTCATGAGTAGAATTAAGTGCTCACTGCACCTCATGGACACAAAGTTTTGGGACCTGTCCTTCGTTTGCTCCCCTAGTGATGATTAACATGGTGAAGGGTTATTTGGGGGATGTATGGTAGTTTTTCTTGAACTTGTTTGACCTGAAGCCATGAGACTCCATGGAGTCAATATTGAGGAGTACCCCACCTGTCATTGAGGTTAAATATTCCCAAGGACAGTGACAGAGGCATCTCGGATGTTTCCAAATTGATAAGATTCGGTGAAACAAACTTACAGTGCCCACTTTGTACTCTGACTGTCTTTCAGTTCATTAGGGAAGATGGGACAGTGGACAGAGGAAAGTAAACATGTCTGCTGTTCATCACTATCCTATGTCCCTGCTGGAATCAGAGTATCTGAAAGTCATCTGGTTCCAACCCACACAGAGGAATAGCAGACAGGCACTCACTGTGGAACAGCCTCTGAGGAGTCAGCCCCTTCAACAAAAGAGAAGAGAGAGTTGGAGATAATCATGTTTCCTGTTCTAAACCAGAAAACACAGAGGACAGATACTGCAGATAGATCCTGACCATCACCGAAGGAACAACTGCACAACTGTGGGAAGACATACAGTCCCTTCACAGCATTGCTCAACACAGAGAAGGTTGGGCAGTGAAACCATCATCTGGAAATTGATCGTGTCATGGGAGCTTTGACATATCAGATCTGAAACTGGTCAGTGGTCTGGAGCCTTCTATCAGAACCAGCCTTTCTGAGAATTTGACTGGATGATCAGGGTGAGGCTGGGAAAAGGTGTGTATTGATCCGAATTTGGTGAGAATCTCAATCATTCTTTCAGCCTCATGAACCAGTGACTCATTCCTACAATTGAGAGACTATCCAAGTGTGAAGTGTGTAAGGAGGGCTCTACAGGCTGATCAGATTCCCTAACACATGTCTAACTGTGAACATAGAACATTACAGCGCAGTACAGGCCCTTCGGCCCTCAATGTTGCGCCGACCTGTGAAACCAATCTGAAGCCCATCTAACCTAAACTATTCCATTATCATCCATATGTTTATCCAATGACCATTTAAATGCCCTTAAAGTTGGCGAGTCTACTATTTTTGCAGGCAGGGCATTCCACGCCCTTACTACTCTCTGAGTAAAGAACCTACCTCTGACATCTGTCCTATATCTATCACAGTGAACCACTGTCAATATACGGACACCTGCATAGAAGAGAAACCTGTCAAGTGTGAACTGTGCAACAGATCATTCTGGTGTTCTTTATTCTTCCTTTTGCGTCAGCATGCTCACACAGGGTAGAAATTATTTATCTGTGATGAGTTTAAGAAATTGTTCTTGCAGTCAGCAGCCCTACATGTTCACCAATGTATTTATACATGGGGGAAATCATTTACATGTGAGGAGTGTGAGAAGTTATTCACACAGTTATCAAGCGTCTGGGCCCATCAAATAATCCATACAGAGGGAAACTCTTCAAGTGTATAGTTTGTGATAAAGTATTCACAAAATCTACAAAGCTCCTGGAACACCAGAGTATTCACACAGGGGAGAAACCCTTCAGGTGTCAGGTCACAGAGTTATACAGCACAGAAATGTACCCTTTGATCCAACCAGACCATGCTGACCATTATCTCAAACTAAAATAGTCCCATCTGCCTGTGTTTGGCCCATATCCTTCCAAACATTTCTTATTCATGCACTCATCCGAATGTCTTAAACATTGTAACTGTACCTGCATCCACCACTTCTTCTGGAAGTTCGTTCCATATACGAACCACTCTTTGTGTTTAAAAAAAATTGTCCCTAATGTCTTTTTTTAAATCTTTCTCCTCTCACCTTAAAAATATGCCCCCTAGTCTTAAAATCCCCAACTCTCAGGAAAAGCACCTGCCATTCACCTTTTCTATAGGTGACCTTATAAACCTCTACAAGGTGACTCCTCAACCTCCTAAGCCCCACTGAAAAAGTCCCAGCCCATCCATATAGCTCAAACCCTCCAATGCCAGCAACATCCTGGTAAATCTTTTCTGAATTCTCTCTAGCTTAATAATATCCTTCCTATAACAGAGATTTTAAAAGTTTCATTTAATTTAGTTCTCTCATCATCTTTTCTGTCAGATTTATCCATTTTCACTGTTCTGCCGTTTCTCATGTGTTTTCTGTGTTCATCAGTAACTGCTGTTTAACAGTCTAGGCAGAAATACTAGGCGGAATCTTCTGAGCCAATGAACAAGGTGGGGAATGGTGAGAAAGCTGGGAGAAGTGCGTGAGGAGCCAGTGAAAAGCTTTTCACAAGGTGCCGTTTTCCAACTGAATGTTGAACCATGAGACGGGATTCTCACTAGGGAGTGGTGAGAGAGCTATTTATGTACATCAACATCCTCATTATTTTATCACCTTTCCTCATTAATATGCAGTTTCCCATTCCTTCTATCCCCCCGATAGAAACCAGAGAGAGACAATTCCCAACATGAACATCCGTGTAGGTTCCTGGTGAGTCCAGTTCACTTCTTGCTCCTCCAGACCTCCATCCATCACCAACGTCTCAGGGCACATGCCATGGGCAATGTAACAAATCATTCTCAGACTCAACTCATTTCCTTACACACTAACGCGTTCACACAAAGGAGAAACCACTCATCTACCAACTGTGTGACAAATTATTCTCACGGTCGTCGAACCTCGATCACTAATGCCTTCACATAGGGGAGAAGACTTTCAAATGTTAAGTGTGTAATTAGAGCTCAACACAAATGTCAGGCCTGGTGAAACACCAGCACACTGTCACGGGGGAGTCAAAAGCATTCAAATATGACGTGTGTAAGGATCAATGTTGGATCGCCGTCGCGTTCACTTGGGGCAAAGCCAAGTGAGGTGTGTGACTGAGCCTTCACACAGTCAGTGACACTCATCAAATGGACACATCCTGAGGAAAAGTTCTTTACTGAGGTGTGTGACAAAGACTTCATTCGTGATATACCAGATGCCTCGTACTGGAGAGAAACCATTGAATGTGAGGTACGCAGCTGTGTTTTCACACTGTCAGTGATACTGATATGTCCACATAATACAACATGTTTAATGAGGGCTTTGTAATCATTGGTCCTGATGCATCACCAACATATTCCTTGTGGGGCAAAACTGTTGACATGTGAAATCTGTGACATTGTCTTCACAAACTCATTGAAGCTCCTGTTTCCTTAGAGAATTTCCATAGGGGAGTGACCGAGTGTAAAGTCTTTGACTTTCCTGCAACACCAGAAGTTTGCAGCAGAGCAAAAAAAAACTTCCAGCATGATATTTGTGACAAGACTTTCACCCTCCACCCAATTTCCTAAACTACTAATCATTATAAACTCATCTAAAGTGCGTGACAGGGCTTTTACACAATCAGTGTATCTCCTGGTCCATCAATGCATTCATGCAAGGGAGAAACCTTGTCAGTGTGAGTTGTGTAACAAAGACTTCACACAATTGTTGGACTTACTGGAACATCAGTGAACTCACACAGTAGACAATGCTTCTAGTATAACGTGTCAGGATTGTTTCACCTACTCCTCGCTCATCATACACCAACGTCTCCATATGGACCTGGAGTGTCACCTGCTTCTGTTGCATTGAGAACTGACGGTGTTATTTCTCCTCCAGTGCTCACACAGAGAAGCTATCATTCGAAAGCACTGCCTGTCTCAGCAGGATCTGTCTCAAACCTCTCCCACCATTAGTCCAAACATTTCAAGAATGTGTAACCTTTAACCTGATGACCAAACACCACCAAAAAAAGTCATCAATTTGTATAGAAGCTCCTGTATAAACTCAGCATCCTATGAGTGCAGCATCAGATACAAGCCATTCACTGACTCTCTGACCAAGAAGACACTCGGATACTCAGTGGTTAGAAAGCCTTCAGCTTCTGATCGACCAGCACAGGCACCTGTGGGGACCTGTTCCTGGGGTAGTAATAGAGGTATTTCAATTTGCCTCAGTGTCTCTGGTCTACGAAAAGGGAGTATCAGCCAGGAATCCTGTTCTCAGTGAGCCCAGCAGGGAAGTCAGGCAGAAGGGCTGAATGTGTCTCAGCTGACAGTCTTCATTGTCTCACAACATTCACTGTCTGGCTGTCCACATGCTGAATGACCATTCAAACAGAGCACTAGAGGCCAATCAGTGTCCACAGTCTGTCCTCCAGGTCAGTACCTTGAGGATTTGGGGGGGGAAGTGAGAGGACAACAGCCTGCATTTAGTGTACCTCCACATAGTGAAACATCCCAAAGTGTTTCATTGAGACTTAATTGAATAAAAATTAACAGTGAGACAGAGAGGAGATACTGGGAGGGGTTGAACAAAAATATGGTTAGAGGTCGGTCTGACAAAGGTGCTTAGGTAGACAGAGATAAAGATGCAGAGAGAGTTTGGGAGGGAATTCTAAATGCCTTTTCACATCCAAGGAACATCTATTCCAAGCACTATTACCATGGGCAGGGAGGGCACATGGAAGAGGAACCCTTCAGGTGTGAGATTGTGTTCAAGCTTTAATGATGCCTTTGAACATCCTGAGACTTTAGAGGAATCACGCAGGGTGTGAGAGACTCGATCTTCACCCCTCTTACCCCTTCTCTGCTTTCTCCCCAGTACTGCTGCCTCACAGTGCCAGGGACGTGGGTTCAATTCCATTCTCGGGCGACTGTCTGTGTGGAGTTTGCACATTCTCTCCGTGTCTGCGTGGGTTTTGTTCGGGTGCTCTGGTTTCCTCCCATAGTCCAAAGATGTGCAGGTTAGGTGGATTGGCCGGGCTAAATTAGCTGTAATGTTCAGGGATGTGTAGATTAGGTGTGTTATGGGGGGATGGGTCTAGATGGGATGTTCTGAGGGTCGGTGTGGACTTGTTGGGCTGAAGGGCCTGTTTCCACACTGTAGGGTTTCTATAATTCTATGGTTTGTAGATAATGCAACTCTTTCTTGAATACCTCCATTTAACCTGCCTCCCCCACACTTTCAGACAGAACAGTCCAGACCCTAACCACTCACTGTATGAAATCTTTTTATTTGTGTCTCCACTATCACATTTGCCAATCAACTTCAACTTGTATCCCATTGTTCTTGATCATTTCACAAGTGAGACGAGTTTCTTCCTGTTTGCACTGTCCAGAACCCGCATGATTTTGAAAACGCCTGTCAAATATATGCCTAACCTTCCCTTCTCCAATGAGAATGGTCCTCTCTTCCAGTGTGAACAGTCCTTTCCTGCAATCAAGTCCCTCATTCCTAGAGCCATTCCCATGAATCTTCATTCCACCATCACTAATATCTTCAACTTATTGAATCTGTAGAGCCCAGAACTAGATGCAATGCTCCAGCTCAAGCTAAGTCCATGTTTAGTTTGGGTTTAGTTTTGCTATCTTGCTTTTGTGATTTGTGCCCCTGTTAATGAACAGTGGGATGCCATTTGCTTTATTAACCACTCTGTCAAACTCTCCTGCCACCTTCACTGATTTTGCACAGTTCCACCAAGGTCCCACTGCTCCATACCTTTTTTAGTATTGCACCTTTATGTTAGTTTGTTTTCCTGTGTTCTTTGTACCAAAATAAATCACTTCACACTTCTATTGAAGTGAAATTCTGATCACAGCCCCTTTTGAAATTTTACAGCATCCTCTTCACAGTTCAGAATATCTGAGTTTAGTCTAAATATTATATTAAGTGTAAAGTATTTAGTGTAAAAATTATATCTCAGGAAGAGTTCACAACAACCCTGGAGAACTCTGATATAAACCTTTCTCCAGCTTGAGAAATATCCATTAATCACTCCTCATTGTTTCCTGTCACCTGGACCATGTTGCATCCGTGAAGCTACTTTCCTTTGCTTCCATGAGTTCTCACTTTTCAGGTTTGGGTTTGGAGGGTGCTGCTGGAGGTTTGGTGAACTTCTGAAATTTGGTGATATGACATATCTAAGACATTCAGAATTCTTCAAGCTACTGTTCCTGCCACTCTTAAGATGCACTCTCAAAGCAATGCAATGCCACCTGAACACTAGAGATCTCCCTTAAGCAACCCCAACTCACCGTATCTGAACGCTGTCCTGTTCCACTGTATTATCTGCACAACAGTACTCAAGCTGTGGCCCAACCAAAGTTCTGTACAGGTCTGACATAACCTCTCTGCTCCTATAATCTATAACATGAATGATAAAAGCAAGTGTCCCCCATGTGCCTTCTTAACTACCCTATTGATCTGTCCTGCCATTCATTTAGTACTCTCTTGTCTTGTTCCTTCTTCCAAAATGCATCACCTTACATTTATCACCTTAACAATAAATGATGCAAATGATAAATTTACATTAGCTTTCCTCATTGTTTGCTGTACCTACATTTGAACCTTTTACAATTCATGCACTAAAACAGCCAGATCCCACTACATTTCAGAGTTCTGCAAGCTGTCACTGTTTAGATAATTTGCCTTTTTATTCTTCTTGGCCAAAATTGACCATTTCACATTTTTCCCATGTTAATACTCCATATACCAGATCCCTACTCTAATTCAAATTTGCAACCATATCTTCCGTCCGTTCACATCTCATTTACACAAATTGTAAACAGCAAGGTGATGTATACTGTACATCTGGTTTTGCTAAGAACGCTCACAATGATTTATCACCAGTACGGCCAACTTTTCAGTGATGATGCAGAATGTAGTGTGGAAAGAAGGAAAGGAAAGAATTTATTTGTATAGAGCTTTCATAACAGAAATTGCAACAATTAAATGCAGTAATTTTAAAATGGAATAATTGCCAAATTTCACACAGCAACATCCCAATGGGATAACAACTGGATAATCTGTTTTAACATGTCCATTGAAGGATAAATAGTAGTCAAGACACCAGGAAGACTCCCTATTTTTATTTTTGAAAATGCCAAGTGATCTTTTATATCTACTTGAGAGGACACGTAGGCTTTAATTTAAAGTCCTCTTGAAGATGGTGCCTCTGATAATGGAACATTCACTCAGCACAGCAGTGAAGCATTAGCCTAAATTGTGTGCTAAGTCTCTGTAGCAAGACTTCAACTGGGTTTTCTGAAGCTGAAGTAGTTAACATCCTGGACAGGAATTTACTGGGAGATTTGGGAACCCAAAACTAGGGGTAACATGACTGGCTTAGCAATTATCCGAGGGATAGCCTCCTAATTGGCTACCTCCACTCTTGCTGTTTCATTAAGAACAGTGGGCAGGTTTTCATTGCTATCGGCCTAGTGCTGGGTCTGGCAGCTCTGAAACCTCACAGCACAACTAGGAGAGCTGGGCATTGCTGAAGCAGCTTAGGGAGCAAGAAGTCTCAAGAGAATTAAGTAAGAATTAGCAAATTAGAGGGCAAGCTATTAAGGTCCTTGCCAACAACATGGGGCTGTAGAGATGACCCTCCTTGCTTATGGCTCCCTTTACAATGGAGCATGGTGGTGGCTGGAGCCCAACATGAGCCCAGATGGTGCCAGCAGCAGCTGGTGGTGAAGGATGGTGGAGTGGTGGTCAGGGCCAAAGCCTCGCGAGCAGTGGCAAAGCCAAGTGGACCTGACGAAGGTCAGCACTGGCCGAGGTGGCTGGCAAGCACAGGCAAATCTCAGCCCAGCATGGGTGAAAGCATGTCCAATGTAATAGAGAGTGAGCCCTCTTGGGAAAGCCCAGTTTGGAGCATCTGCAGGCTTAAGAAAGGACTGTAATGTTTGACGTTTTAACTTTTTTTATAATTTTCCACTTGTATACTAAGAAGACTGTAATGCTGAACTTTTTAAACTTATTTCTTTATTTTTCTACATCTGCAATAACATAGTATACCTAAAACGGTGCCATGTGAGGTGACATTGTACTTTTCGTTGTGTACTTTTCACTGTACTTTTGCACCCTTACTTGAGTGCGTGTGACAATAAAACCTAAATCTAAAATCTAAAATCCTGATTCTAAGGAAAACTGAAAATTTTGGACCAGTGCCTCCACAATCCCCAGTCCAGCCAAATAATCTCTTCCCCAAAGGCAACCTATTGTTCATTTGCCATTTTGCCTGACAATTTTTGATTCCAATTCATCTGGTGAGATGCATTCTTATTACATTGTAGTTCTCCCCCAGTTAATCATTCTTATTCTGATTTGACCCTTGTCTTTCTCAAGCACCACACCCAAACTTTCTGATACAGTGATCAGTGTCCTCCAAGTGTACCTCTCCTGACACTTGTACCTGCACAGGTAATGTACTATCCTGTCTCTGGCCACAGAAACGTTTGTCTATTCCCAGAACTATCGAATCTGTTATTGCTTTTCGAGCTTTCAGTTTATCTCCTTGTATGGCTGAGCCAGCTCTGGTGCCATTTATTCCCCAGATCACCCCTTTCTTTCATCAGGATTGAGAGCTTCATACTAGTTGGAGAGTGTGATACGCTCAGGGGTCCTACACTGCCTGCCTTCCTGACACTTCCTAAATGCAGCCCTGAACAGCCCGACTCCAACTTTAATGTTACGGCCACTGTGCTTGTAAACTGAGCCAGCTCTCAGGAGTGGGCTTGGGGTAGAATCAGACCCGGCTTTGGTTGGTGATGTGAATTATAGACAGAACCTCTTTAGGTGACGCTGTTTGACTAATACCATGGGAATGTTTGTATACTCCTGTCTGGGTATGGTGAGGGAGTGGGTCTCTACAGACTCAAGTTCCCTCAGCACATTTTAACTCGATGTGATAATGGTGTGATATGTTCACCTATACTCTTCCACGACTCATTTCATGTTCTAGGAAAGATCTGGAGTCACTTTCAAAAGGTTTTGTTATTTTGGTTGATTTAAAGTATAGTGTAAGCTGAATATTCTGGTGCTGTTTGTCTGTTTTATCAATCTTCTGTAATAATTTATAATTCACAATAAGTTCACTGTTTAGTTTAATTTGCGCAAAGCAATTTCTTAGCATTGTGGGTCCTATTCCTATCCTGAGTGAAACATTTGCCAGCATTTGGCCCATATCCTTCTAAACCCTTCCTGTTCATAATACCCATCCAGATGCCTTTTAAGTGTTGTAATTGTACCACCCTCCACCATTTGCTCTGGCAGTTCATTGCATGCACGCACCACCCTCTGCATGAAAAAGTTCCCCTTAGGCCCCTTTTAATTCTTTCCTGTCTCACCTTAAACCTATGCCCTCTAGTTTTGGACTCTCCTACCCTGGGGAAGAGACTTTGACTATTCACTCTATCCATGCCCCTCATGATTTTATAAACTTCTATGAGGTCACCCCTCAGCCTCTCACACAGCAAAGAAAATAGCCCCAGCCTATTCAGGCTGTCTCTGTAGCTCAAACCCTCCAATCCTGGCAACATCTTTTCTGAACCCTTTCAAGTTTCAAAACATCTTTCCTACAGCAGGGAGACAAGAATTCAATGCAGTATTCCAAAGGTGGCCTAACCAATGTTCTGTACAGCCACGACATGACCTCCCAGCTCTTATACTCAGTGAATTGACCAATGAAGGCAAGTGTACCAAACGCCTTCTTCACCTGGGACTCCACTTTCAAGGAACTATGAAGCTGCACTCCAAGGTCTCCCTGTTCGGCAAAACTCCCCAAGACCTAGAGTAAGAGTCCTGTGCATAATATATTGCTCAATGTCACTGTGAGCTGGGATGTATTTTTCTGCAGGGGTCCACAGTTTACACTTCTCATATCTCCCATATCCTTAAGAAAGGAACGCTTGCATTAATATATCAACTTTTACATCCTCGGTATATAAAAATGCATTTTACAGCCGATGAAATGAAGCATTGTCAAAAACTGATTTCACGAATCGCAAGTTCTCCACTCGTTCTAACTTCTCTCTAAACCTTCCATCAGTAACTTTCAATCTCTGCTCCCTTGTAATTAACTTTTGTTCAGGGAAATAAAACTGAAAGAATCCCAACAGCTGCCTCTGCTACTTTATTCCTTAAAATGTGAGTAGACTCTAGGAGTAAGGAAAAACCTACAGGGTAGGTAATGATAGAGAATTCCAACGTCAGATAAAAACCTAAATCCCACTGGCTCCAATACGGCCATATTTCAGAACAGCCATCAACCATTCTGGTATTTTTCAGAGACACTGAGCAGCGCAGCATGCTCCCACCACAATGTGCTGTGTTTGGAAGACTCTGTCCCCTATTTGTCCTGGTTCTTCGTCCATATGCACCATCTGATGACATTGAGGTCAGTATTTCGGGAATGTCTGAGTGACTGAGGTGGGTGAGTCTTGATCCTGATCCAAAAGTGACACAGATTAGTGAGTGTTAGCCAATATTGTTCCTGGTTCTCTTTCTTTAAATGTTGTCCCTCACTCCTTTGAATTGGCTGTTTTTACCACTCTCCTCAAAATACCAAAACCTGACCCCTCAGTTCATGCAAATGATGATATCTTCAACACCATTTTTGTCTCCAAAGACCTTCAATGTCATGTCACCTCCAAATTGTGGAAAGGGTCATGTGTCAGGTGGGAGGTGAGAGGCAGAGTGAAATGTCTTGCAGAGTGTGTCACCAGGCAAGGTCAAAAGGATGGAGAAGTCAGCTTTGGATTGGGGGGTCATTCCCATAGTCAGTCACCGAGTGACAGTCTGCCACCAGGTACAGATGTGCCCTGAGCACATACACCCCAAGAGCGTTCCCCCCCCACCCCCTCCTTTAACCCTCCTTTCTGTGCCCATTTCTCCCATGTTACTCCTTCCAGTACTCACTCTTTGTACACATAGTGATCCTAGCACTCCACATGATCACTGCCTTGGATGTTATGGGTCTTCCTTCTGATCTGCTATCAGACACGTCCACTGCTACACATCTCCCACTGATGTTGTTAGTTTGAAAGCCTCTGAGGATGAAGAATGCCATTCCCACACTAGAAATCTCTGTCAAACATTTACCAGGAGAACTGAGACAGCAGCTGCAATAAGTGAGGTTTTATTCAGATGGGACACTGACAAGTTTAAATCTCCACCTGATCTGCTGCTCAAAGTCACCTCCATTTCACCGGTCAGTTTCCCAAGCTTCAGGAAACTCATGTTGCTGCAGAAATATTGGGATTGAGTGTGAGAGACGTCAATCAGAGAGCCCACCCACTCTGCCCATTCTCTCCTCTTCCTCTTCCAGAGCTGGTTCACTTCCTATAGGGACTGAAAACAAGTGAGGAGATGGTGAGTGAAGGAGCAGCTTTTATACAAATTGTATCCCATAATATCCACACCAATCTTCAGGCAGTCTGACTATCCTGTGGGTAATCAGGGGTGGAAATGTCCCTTATGCTGTGTGAGAAGATCCAGCTGAGAGAGCTGTTTACTTGGTGCTTTGTGCTGAACTGTTTGACTGGAGCTGTGTGTTGGATATTGAGTGTGTTTATTGGAAGCATTTCCCTTCTGATGAACAGGCTGAGTTTTGTTGATGGCTTATTCCTGAATATGACAAGGTGAGGTGTAGCTATCTGGGAGGTGATGGAGTTTTACTTATTTCCTATTGTTCAGTTCTCTGTGTTGGAAGCTGGTCAATATCCTGTGGACTATTAACTTGTTTGAATCATCTTCACTCTTATGGAACTAGTGCAGTTCAACCACTTAGAAGGGCAAGAGCAGTATACATGCAGAATGTCACTCCCTGTAAACCCCCTTGAACTCACACACAGTCCTGACTTAAAAGTGTCTTGGTAGTTCTTCTCTGTACCTGGCATAAAACTTCGCAAACTTGCTTTCTGAAGTCTGTGTGGATTGATCTACACCCTGTCCATCCTATGGAGTACAATGATTCTTGAAGGGAGGTCACCTTTTGAAGGGCCAATGAAACATCGACAACAAGTGCTGGACTGGGCAATGACACCCACATACTGTGAAAAAAGCCCCAGGTGTCAGCCCCTTCAGCAAAGGAGAAGAGGGAGTTGGAGGTAATCATGTTTCCTTTTCCTGTTTTACAGAAGAATTGCACCCAGAGAATTCAGAGAAGATAGTCACTGCAGACAAATCCCGGCCACCACTCAAGGAACAGCTACACAACTTGGGAAGACATCTAGTCCCTTCACAGTTTAACACAGAAGGTTGGGCAGTGAAACCATCATCTGGAAATCTATCGGGTCAGGGGAGCTTTGACAGATCATCAGATCTGAAACTGGTCAGTGGTGTGGAGCCTTCCATCAAAACCAAACTTTATGAAGGTTTGGCTGTGGGTGATCGGTCAGTGTGAAGCTGGGAAGAAGCGTGTGGTCTCCAAATGTTATGGGAGCTTCAATCATTCATGAAGTACTGACCCATTCCTACATGCTCCGTTGAAGTGTGAGAAGGCACCACAGGCTCATTCGCACAAGGTGCATCTGTCCTGAAAGCTGTTAACACAAAATTAGCTTCATGGAAGAGAAACCATTCAAATGTACGGTCTGTGACCAAGCTTTCACAAAGTCAACAACACTTGTGAATCACCAACGCATTCACACTGGAGAACAGCCATTTAAATGTAAGGTATGTGAGAAATCATTCTCATGGTCATCAACTCTCCGAGCTCACAAATCAGTCCACACAGGTGAGAAACCATTCACTTGTGAGGTGTGTGGCAGATCATTCTTGTACTCATCAACACTTCATAGACACCAACACATTCATACAGGGGAGAAACCTTTTATTTGCAAGATCTGCAACAAATCATTCTTACAGTCATGGGCTCTCCTTGAACACGGGCGCACTCACACAGGGGAGAAACCCTTCACATGCAAGGTGTGCATCAAATCATTCTCTGATTCATCAGCCCTCCGTGTTCACCAACGCATCCACACAGGAGAGAAACCATTCAAATGTGATGTGTGTGACAAATCATTCTCTGATTCCTCAACCCTTCGGAAACACCGACGCATTCACACAGGAGAGAAACTATTCATGTGTGATATGTGTGACAAATCATTCACATATTCATCAACCCTCCAAACGCACCAACGTATACATACAGGAGAAAGACCATTTATGTGTGAAGTATGTGGGAAATCATTCTCTGATTCATCAACCCGTCGCAAACATCGCTACATTCACACAGGAGAGAAACCATTCACATGTGAAGTGTGTTTCAAATCATTCTCTGATGCATCGGCTGTCCGCAAACACGGACTCATTCACACAGGAGAGAAATCATTCACGTGCGAGGTCTGTGACAAATCGTTCCTAAGGTCATCGATCCTCCTGCACCATCAGAGGATTCACACTGGACAGAAACTATTCACGTGCAAGATGTGTGACAAATCATTCTTGTACTCATCAACCTTTCATAGACACCAACAAATTCACACAGGGGAGAAACCCTTTACTTGCAAGACTTGCAACAAATCATTCTTGCAGTCATGGGCTCTCCTCGAACACCAACGCATTCATACACGTGAGAAACCATTCACATGTGAGGTGTGTATGAAATCATTCTCTGATTCATCAAACCTCCGAACACACCAACGCATTCACACAGGAGAGAAACCATTCACATGCAAGGTGTGTGATAAATCATTCTCTGATTCATCAACCCTTCGGAAACATCGACGCATTCATACAGGAGAGAAACCATTCACCTGTGAGATATGTAACAAACCGTTCACATACTCATCGAGCCTCCGCATACATCAACGTATTCACACAGGGGAGAAACCATTCACGTGTGAGAAGTGTGACAAATCATTCTCTGATTCATCGGCCCTCTGCAAACACCGACACATCCACACGGGAGAGAAACCATTCACGTGTAAAGTTTGCTACAAATCCTTCTCGAGGTCTTCAACCCTCCTGTTGCATCAGAGGATTCATGTAGGGGAGTAACTGTTCAGGTGTGAGGTGTGTGGGAAACCTTTATCAAGATCATTGAACCTCTACACTGACCGACAGATTCATACAGAAGAAACTATTCAATCATAGGATGGGCCAAATATCGTTCTTTGCGTCATGGATCCTCTGTGCACATAAATACTTTCACACGGGACAACCCATTCATTTGTGAGATGTGTCAGAAACTTTCTCCTTATCATCAGAACTCTGCAACTACCAAAACAGTCATACCAGAAAGAACCTGGTCAAGCACTTGAGGAGTGACAAATCATTCTCAAGTTCATCACCTCTCCACAGACATCCACACCAGGGACAAACCATTCATATGTGTTGTGCATCAAAAGCATTCTTGTTATCATTGTACCTCCACACACATCAACGCATACGCAGGCAAGAAACCACTCAAGTGTGAGGTGAGTGCAAAATTGTACTCTCAGCCTTTGATTCTCCCGATCTATCAAAGGATCTCCACAGCTAAGAAACCATTTACGTCTGATGTTTATGATGAAGCTTTTTTGGCATCTTAAATTCTTAATTATCATCAAATGATTCATACAAGGGAATAAATCTTTGAATTAAGATGAGACTTTCACCCATTGACCAAACCTCCTAAACCATCAGTGGAGGCACAATGGAGAAAAAAATGTTTTGTGTTGCATGTGACGAAGTTTTTCATGCAGTTTTTCTTATGCTCCTTTAACATATTTGCACAGCAGAGAAACCCAGTTGGTATCAGCCTTCACACAGTTGGTGGACCTGCCAGAACATCAGAGAACTCAACCAGGCAGGTTCTTGCACATTTGTTGTTGAGTGTGTGAACCTGCACACAGTCTCACGGTGCAGGGTGTTCAGTGGGACTGGGACACAGAACAAGAAGCAGCTTTCACTCCCATCAAACACCTAGTGATGACATCACCAGTGCTGAGGGATTATGATGTCAACAATGGAGCCACCCTGCAGTGTGATGTCAGTGACACAGGACTTGGAGCAACCCGTTGTGTTTGTATCCAGAGAGTTAACACACACTGAACAATGATGTGCACAGACTGAGAAAGAGAGTTTGATGTTGTCTTTGCATATCAACGTTTCAACCATATCTGTTTCAGGTCAGGAAGTCCTCAATATTGACTCAATGGAGTTTCAGGACTTCAGCTCAAACAAATTCAAGGAAAATTACAACTGTCCTCCCATTTGATGAATGAATACTTCACCATGTTCATTGTCACCAGGGAAGTTGACTAAGTATAGATCCCAAAACCAGGTGTCCATGAGATGCAGTGAGCCATAAGCAGCCGTAGGATTGTACTCCACCACACTCTCATAGCCCAGCACAGCCCTTGTTCAATGACCACCATCGTATACTCCTGAATCAGGGTCCTGGCCACTGTGCTATCTGGGTATAACAATAACTTGTATTTCTGTAGTGGCTTTAGCAATGTAAAAGCTCCTGGGTGCATGTGGGGCAAAATATGATGCAAGCCACGAAAGGTGATACAACCAAATACTTGGAAGTATCCTGAAGAAAGGGAAAGATTGGGACAAGGTTAGTGGGGAAAATTACAGAGGTTATGATAAATTATGGGTTTGAATCATGCTCCATGGATTTGGGCACCGAGGCTGACATTCCAGTACAATCGCGAGATGTGCTGAACCGTCAGCAATGTCAACTTTCAAATGAGATGTTTAAACAGGGAACCTCTACTCGTTCTAAAACCTGTGTATTTTCACTACTTTGAGACCGAACAGGAGAATTACTTCTGGTATCCAGTCTGACCGTAACCTTTCAACATCATCAGTAAAGAAATTAGCTGGTCATTATCACATTAATCTTTGTGGGAGTTTGCTGTCCTGTTGGAGCCACGTTTCCTACATAACAACAGTGACTACATGTCAAAAATACTTCTTTGGCTTTAAAGTGCTTGGGGGTGTCTTGTGGTCGAGACAGGCATGATAGAAAGGAAAGTCTGTGTTTTCCTTATGAAAAGGTAACTGAGGCAGAGTGATGGGAGGTCTTGGAGGGATTTGAAAGGATAGGCATAATCCAGAACCCAACACACGCAGGAGACCTGATCATTCTCAGTCCACAGGATAATAATCAGGTCCCAACGCACACACAAATCTCAACACCAGGAAATCAGTAAGAATCCTCAGACACTCTGCACCTCCCAGATAATTACACCTCACCTCCTCATATTTAGGAATGAGCCATCAACAAAACTCTGGAAATCAGAAGGGAAATACTTCCAATAATAAACACTGAATATCCAACACACAGCTCCGGTCGAACAGTTCAGCACAAAGCGCTGAGTAAACAGCTCTCTCAGTTGGATCTTCTCACACAGCATAAGGGACATTTCCACCCCTGATTGCCC